ACACGTCGTTGTCGTTCAAGACAAATTCAGAACCAAGAAGCACCAGAATCGGAATCTGGTATAAGACGAAGGCGAAGAGTCAGAGAAGCAATCGCCCCTTCAAATGAAGCATCTGAATCTGGGATTGTTGAAGCTAAAATTCATAGAAAACGATCGCCGTCTTTAACATGTAATGATACCGAAAAAACATCAGCCGCTGAATTGAAGAATGAAATAGTGGTTCCTATAAATTCTGAAAAAGATTCATTGCACACAGCACAAAATCCTTCATCACAGAGTGATGTTGTAACAACTTCAAGTAGAACTAGAGTGCGTCGACGTAGAGTACGTGAAACGCAGGACGCAGAAAACGACCAAAACTCTACGGATGTGACCGTCGTGCTAAGGAGAAGACGCCCGAGAACTTCCATCTCTACCGCTAACATCGCTCATGAAATAGTTGAAAGTGAAACCTCTAGGGAGGAAATAGTTATAGGTGAAACTCCTAGAGAGGAAGTCAGGCAGGAAAATGATGATTCAAAAGTGATAGTTGACGACAAAGAAAGCAAAAAATCTCAATGTAGGAGAAGAAGAGAAGTAGAAACAAATGAACGAGGTCGTGCCGAAACTCCTGAGTCAGAAAATGAGGTGAGTTTTAAGTAACGTTTTTTATTTCCTCGACAAGGCTCGACAAGTTGACTAATTTAAATAAAGTCATCACGATTAATATCTTGACCATCTATTATTGATTGTATTAGTCCTGAAATTTCATGATGAACTTTTGTGTACAAGATAAACATGTCCCTTTTCGTCATAGAATAAATAGTTTATGAATATCGAGATATTAAAAACTTTCTGTCTCATATCGGTCCTAAAAGTCTACGGAGTTTGCTACCAATATTTAAGTTCATACACAGAGTTGCTACACATTTCTGGGTCGGAGCCAAATAATGTTGGCAAAGACAGGCTCATTGCAAGTCGTGCTTTGACGCACATCTTTCATTGTTGTTTTGTTTGAAATGTTGGCAATGTTTAGAATTGCTCAAACGCAAATGGGATGACTAATGAACGAATAAAATAAATATTTTGAAGTGATTAATGATATATCTGTTCAGTATACAAATTATTGATGAAGTCATGAGAAGTTAGTGATCATTATCGATTACAGTTTCAGCTTAGAAGAATAATTTCATTATACATGTCACTCTTTCGTGTCGTAATTATTCATGCAATCTGGGTGAAGATCAATATTGCATAATTTACATTTGCATGTAGTCCTTATATATTCTCGCTTCTTATATATCTATATTCGTCAAAGTTTGTTATTGAAGTCGAAGCCTGACTTCAATAAGCCCAAATCACAGCGAGTCAAACAAATCACAGCGAGTCAAACATGCTATACTCAAAAGATTTATATTCGTATTTAAATCGATATCAAACTTTGATAGTTCAATGTTGTATATTAAATATTACTTTGAACTGATATTTCTTTAATTAGCATATATTGGCTTTATTGTTTTTACTGGATGCGGAATGGAAGGATTCGGGTTAACATGATTCGATTAGCGAAAAAAAATTCTGGGACTGTCGATGATGGCAACGTAATAGTTTTAACACCATACCCAGACATATGGCTTTTATAAACTAAAGGAAATTAGGTATGTTTAGTAAAGACGCTCACTCTCAGCAGTTGGCAGCCGTCTTGCATGCAGCAGAACTAGCTAGCTTCCTGTTGCTGTTGCTGCTGCTATACTTGCTGTTGCTGCTGCTATACTTGCTGTTGTTGCTGCTATACTTGCTATTACTGCTGCTATACTTGCTGTTGCTGCTGCTGCTAAACTTGCTGTTGTTGCTGCTATACTTGCTGTTGTTGCTGCTATACTTGCTTTTGCTGCGATACTTTTTTGCACTAGTTAATGCTGCAGCTGCGTACAGTTGCAGCAGGTGCTGCGTACAGCTGCAGCAGGTGCTGCGTACAGCTGCAGCAGGTGCTGCGTACAGCTGCAGCAGGTGCTGCGTACAGCTGTAGGGGTTCAGGGCGCTGTAGGTCAGCACTCTCTTGGGCCTCGCGCGCGCGTCGCGTGAGACGCGGTCTCGAGCCGACAATACTGCGGGCGCTTTACAAAACTTTAACTATATTGTAGTATTCTAAGTAGTGATTCTGGGCGAATAACATGTGAATTCGAAGAAAATTTTAACATTCAACATGCAATATATATGAAAATTATAGTCTTGTGTGTAAAAGATGTGTATCTGAAGATGAAATTATTGTTTTGTGTACAAATATGTGTGTGTGATGAAAAGATCACAGTTGTGTTTATTAAATATGTGTATTTGAAAAAAACACACAGTTTGGTATTAATGATATGCGAGTAAAAACCAACAGTGAGAATTTGAAGAGAAAATGTTATAAAGCAAAGGAAACACAGAACCAAAACATTACCAATCCTAAAACAATTATGAAGATTTTTTTTGAGAATTCCTAAAACAAGATTTTGTTTAAAATAGGAATAAATTCGATGAAAATAATGCACAAGTTCAGGTATTAACTGTAAGATTGTTCAAGCTGAATACTATTGAGTGCGAATTACGAAAGAAAATTTAATTACAAATGAACCAGATGAATTTTAAATACATTAATTTAATCGGTGCGCGCACTCGTGTAGAACGCATGTTTGCGATAGTTAATAATGCTCTTCGTTGTGGTAATGAAGACAATTATATTGCTCTTCTTCTTTACTGCAATATTATTATGTTGATCTATTTATATATTATAAAAATCTCATCTATGAATACAAGTGGTAAAGATTTGTCTTATAATGGGAAAATAGTCTCGAAGTTATTAGGTTGAACGTTAATAAAAGTGTCTGAATAATGGAGAACGATTCAGACCGGTTCAGAAAATTAGTGTTAGGTTATAGAAACCTCGAATAAAATCTAATGATATACCATTTTTGACAATGCAATCCGTTAATTAACTAAATCAAATGATAATAAATCAGAACTTTGAACAATGGGCATGTCAGTTTAGAATCTTAGCAAAAGCTTTTTTTAAATATAAGTTTGCCTATTTTAATTTAACTCGGCTGTGCTATTTTTGATTCAGATCTTATCAATATTTCCAGTATAAATTAATAAAGAATACTTTTTCTTTAAAATTATCATACTATGATAATTTTTTTATATATCTCGTACTGATCAAACAAGCACCCAAGTATAAGATAAATTTAAATAAGATAAATGATAATTGACAAATTTTTCTCAATCCTAAAACGTTTAATGATCACAGTTGAAATAACAATAAGACGACACAGTAGAATACTCTTCTTGCAGTGCCAAGAGGCCCGCTGACCAAGAATGCTATTTGCCAGCGGTCAGCAGCAAATAGAAGTTGCGGTCGCAAAGTATTTAGTACAGCAAAGATTTTATTGTAAAGCTAGAGCATGCGGCCACAGAGAGCCGCCATATTGCTTTTCTATTGTGGGCGTGAGGTCAGTGAACCGAACTCGTGGTATAATGTTAAAAAAGTGAGGTCACTGAACCGAACTCGTGGTATAATGTTAAAAAAATGAGGTCACTGAACCGAACTCGTGGTATAATGTTAAAAAAATGAGGTCACTGAACCGAACTCGTGGTATAATGTTAAAAAAATGAGGTCACTGAACCGAACTTGTGGTCTTTATCTAAACCAAGTGGTGCACTCAGAAAAATGTATGGGTCACATTGTACAAATATTGACACATTTTCCGTACGTAGCACTGATACGCCCTTTTGCCGGGCGAAACTTGGTCAGAGTGGGCCATCTAAGGTCAATATGTTAATCGTTATTTTATTGAATTTATCAATTATAGTATAAAGTATATAATAAAGTCTTAAACGAACGAACTCAGAAGCGCTAACATGCAATTTATTTGGACAAAACGAAATGACAACAACTCAAATTAAGTAAAATAAAAGCAAGATTTTTTTAAACACGGTTTGAGCGCGATGTAAGCACAGAGGCAAGGTTAAGGTAATGATAATCAGCAAAGTACCTATCAGCAAAATCAGCAATAATAATTATCTCAATTATTAATAAATTATTTATTATTATTATTAAATTAACGTTAAATAATTATTAAATTAACTATCAGCAAAATCAGCAAATAAATCAAATAAATAATCACGAGCGAGCTAATAAGCGTCGACTTCACTTCCTAACATAACGCTAACGATAAGCGAATAAACAACAATGACGTAATTAGATAATAAATTTTTAACAACTTGGATAACGAAAACACAATAATTAAATCTGAGTTCTGTGTTAGTGGTAATTCTGTGTGAATCGAAATCGTTATACCGTGTCAACTGTGAAGCGGTAGAGCAAAGCTTCAGTGTTGATGACTGAGCATTAGTGCGCGATGAATGCGAGCTGTTGTTGCATAGCAACTATTTTTAATTGCTGTATAATTCTTACTGGTAAAATTAGAAATTCATTTGATTTTTTCCCATTTAATGCTTTCCTGTTGGTGTCATCGGTGTTGGTAGTGGAGGATAAGAATAGTCACATTTTTAATTGCTGGTAAGATTTTATTGTACGCAAATATTGAATTTTCAGGTCAGTGAGAATCTATGTGTTTGAAGTTTTTTTCTGCTCTGAACATGAGATGAAATCAGTGAGAACTAATCAGCCACTGATTGATCTTGGTATGAATTCATAAAACATTTTAAATATAATTGCAAATTTGCTTACAATTGTAAATAAGTGAAATATTGAATCAAGGACCCTCATCGACATTATTTATATTGACATTTGTAGGCAAATTCGTCGAAGTATTAACAATGTAAACAGAACACTTTTTATTGAATATTGAATTCTTAAAAATTGATCGTTTCCCGCCGATGATAGTTATAATTTATTTTTCTTTTAATAAAAGGAATATTTTTCCATTTATCTGCTATTTGACGATCAAATACTCATGATTTTCAAATATTAGCTGTTGAATTGATAATTAAAATTCTTCAACAGAACAATTTTCCTCAGAAAAACATTAGTTAATAAGTCAAAAGTATAAATATTTTTAGGAGTTTTCAGTTATAAATGAGCTCAATTAAATACAAGTGTGAATCGTCCATCTCAATATTTTCCAAGTACTCTCATTTGCAATCAAGGAACAACAAACAGCTATAGAAAAAGAAACTGAGGAAACAAAAAAATATTAATTTACCGAATAGGCTGGAAATACCGAAATATATATTTACGCCATGACCTCCGAACTCCGCAAGTATCTTCTCTCAGGGTTCCAAAACTCTACCACTTCATCCCCTGCCGAAGGGAGTAACTTGGAACTCGCTCTTCGTCGCCACGCGCATGCCTTTGCCAACAGCAAACCTACCAAGAACCGCTATAGTTTGGACCTGGAAAGTAAGTATGGTCCTTCCTTCAGTGAATTACTTGCTGACAGGTATACGGGATCGGCTCCGGGAGGTGTGAAATACCGAGGAGCGGTGAGTGACCTGTCGACGATCAAAAACAGGAGATCTCTTGACTTGGAAAAGTTGGCCGCTATCAACAACCCTGATGGCCGTCGGCGGACGGTTACGTTTGACTTTCTAAAAAATCCTGCATATTCTCAGTACGCAGCTGAGGAAGAAGGATCTCAGTCTCCTCAGTACCAGTTAGGAAGCCAGAAATTTCAACCCAATCCTAATGGAAACGCCGAGCCTGCGTTTACTCGTTATACTCCTGAGGAGAATAACGAACGGAGAGCAAGAAGAAGGAGGCGTGGAGAAGAGATGATGGAAAGAGACGATAGTGTTGAACCAGAAGTCGAAACCAGTGGAGTTTCTCCTCAACTGGCACGATTGGTTCAAGTGACACCTACTAGTTATGCAGACGCTCAGAGGCTGAAGAAAATGTTAAAAAGGGCTGTCAGTGGACCTAACGCAACCTTCGAGGACTTGAAACTCTACCGAATGAGAATGAAAAAACTAAGAATGATCGTTAAAGAAGAGCAAGAGAAGGAAATAGAAAGAGCAAACGAAGATATGCGAGAACAACTTGCTCAACAGCAGCAACATCAGCAGAGGAGTGAGGTCAGATGAAAAATTGTGTGTAGAGTACTTCTAACATATTTTCTGGTTTTCAGGTAAAAAACAAAATTAGTTATGATTTTTTCTAAAAACTAGGAAATTCTGATAATTACAGAACGATAATTGTCTACCGGATCAAATATCATTTGAAATCAGCCTTTAGTGCATAATTTTAACTTTCCTTGTTCAGTTTCATTCATTCAATCCAATAACATTTCAATTATAATTTCCGAAACTTATTCTTTTGCTGAAAATATAGTATGCCCAAGCTCATCCGATTTTAAAAACCGAATATTGTTTGATTACCAGAATTAAAGGGAATTTATGAATGCAGAATGATCGACATTATTGAATATACATATTATATATCGATATAGATCGTCTATATGGCATAAATGCAGAATGTATACATGATCTTATAAATCGAACACGAAAACCAGAAAAAAACTTTCACGTTCCCCCTTCACTGTATGAAATTCAGCAAGTGGAAAATGTGTTCCCTGTTCCCTTGGCTTGTGTGCTGAGCTTCGGAAATATTTATGATTACTCCCGACATCAAAGGCCTTACGCATTCTAAACAAACATCTACGACGCTTGATGCTAACATTGTACGTGATGTAGTCTTATACATCGTCTCCACATATGTACAGCAACATCAGCATATGGCTGAACTGTAATGCTTGAACGAATGCTGTAATGCTGTACGAATGAATGTAATGCTGTAATGTTTGAACGAATAAATTTAGTTATTTATATTCATTTAATGAGCAACGAGTTTGATTTGATTCATCTGTTAATTAATAAAATTATTTCTAGTATTTGACAATCTCATTCCAGAATTCAGTGGGCAGTACCCAGAAAAATATGCAAATAAATTTTAAAAATCCTAATATTTAATTTTCAAATAGTATAATGTTTACGATGGGTGTGCGTGCTGATCATTCAGTTCCGTACACGATCATGTGTAGCACCACACAACCTGACACGCTCACCGCCAACGCATGAGTGGCACAGTGCCAGGCGGGTGCTTCCTATATATATGTTGGACGAGACTTCTCGTGTACAGTTTTGTACACGTTCGTCTGGCGCGCTCGAATTGTGTACACTGGGGGACGCATACAGTTTTATACACTATTGGATGTGTACAGTTTTGTACATGTTCGTCCGGCGCACATGACAAAATTAATAAATCAGTTTTGTACACCCGTGAACGCGTACAGTTTTGTACACGTTTGTCTGGCGCTCATGATAAAGTTATTAAAACAGTTGTGTACACTGGTGGTCGCATACAGTTTTGTACACTATTGAATGTGTTCAGTTTTGTACACTATTGGCTGCGTACAGTTTAGTACACTATTGGATGTGTTCAGTTTTGTACACTATTGGATGTGTTCAGTTTTGTACTATTGGCTGCGTACAGTTTAGTACACTATTGAATGTGTACAGTTTTGTACACTGTTGGATGTGTACAGTTTTGTACACTATTGGATGTGTACAGTTTTGTACACTATTGGATATGTACAGTTTTGTACACTATTGGATCTGTACAGTTTTGTACACTATTGGATGTGTACAGTTTTGTACACTGTTGGATGTGTACAGTTTTGTACACTGTTGGATGTGTACAGTTTTGTACACTATTGGATGTATACAGTTTTGTACACGTTCGCCTGGTGTGCATGAAAAAGTTATTAAATCAGTATTGTACACTCACGGAAGCAGTTTTGTACGCCAGTTTTGTACAAATACAAATATTGTACACAGCTTGTACATGTTCAACTCGCGTACAAGATACGTATAATATAAAGTTCTCAAAAATGCGCACCCGCTGTGTTCGTTTTGCATTAAAAAAGACGTATGTTTTTGGTCGTCTGTATGACACGGTTATGAAATTCTTCGGATGCACATGCACAAGCTTTTTAGTAAGTAAGGCTTACTTGTTAATATACTTTCTGGATTTATAGATTAAAACTGGTTAATACACTTTCTGGATTTATAGATTAAAAAAAAAGATCTACAAAACAGCTTACACGTTGCGATCGTTAGCATGACATGGTTCAGACGCTCGCCAAGTGCACATACTACAGTTATTCCAAAGGGTTTGACGTTATTATTGTTAGTAATGGTATAAACTTTCTTCCGCAGCTCATAATTACCTCTTTTTTAAAGAAAACGTTCTGATTCTTTCCATGTCAAAAATGTGTGTTCTTCTTACACAGATGTTGGCGTTCACAAAGAGCAGCTGCACTCGTAGTGATTTAATTCTAAAATTAGTTATCAATAAGGCTTAAAATATGAACTCACTTTAAACTGCTTGGCCATTCAGTGCGTTCTGCGTTTCTACTTGAACGGAACATACTAAAAGTGAAGCCCAGAGTTCTCTTCGTGCATTCATTTACCTGTCGCAGTAATGCATTTAAACCGACTAATACCGCACTCCACGAGACTGAAGTGTCTCCGGCGTATCGTGTACGAACCTTGCTCGATTATATCTACTAAATGGCCCAGGATTTGGAAGTTAAAGAATTTGCTTGTAGGGAGTTGAAAGGAATGCATACCATCACCGTACCCTGGATTGATGATCCTAGGAATGTTTTAGCCCACAATTTCCGACTCTTCGATAGCATCTCTCCCGTGGCCAAGATCTCTTGTGTGGATTTCTGACTAAGCAGTTCGTGCTTCTCGATGACTCGCCAATGTGAGATGAGGTACGAAACTTACGTCACCGCAGCATTGCTCTTCTGTGGGGCCCACCCTGAAACTATTGGGAAAGTCATAGATGAAATGTTGCCTATCCTACATCCTTGCTCGTGTCAATGTAAAGTGCAGCTGATCGTTCCACCTTGCGAAGTAATTTTGTATCTGCTGGTGACCGGTTTCGTCACTATGCTACAGTTGGCAAACCCGAAGAGCATAGTTTCAACATTGAAGGTTCAGTGCCTACTTCACAGAGTTCTCAGAGACAAACCAGTTGCTTTACAGTGGCTCAATCAGTCTTTTTTCAACAGCATCGTGAAAGAAGATCAGTTGAACGCAGCAGTATTCCACCTGACAAATTCATGTGTAAGAAGAACTTTACTGCAGTGCGTGCTGACTGGATCAGCGGAATCTGAACTACACAATGACTTCCTGAGAGAATTGAGAAGGTCTTTGATGTACCATGGCATGTACGATATGAGAGCAGCTTACCAGTTTATCACTACTTCAAAGTCTTTGGCTTTAACGAACGATATTATTAGAGCGGAGGGAGACCAGTATCGGAAGATGTACGATATGGCCGCTGCTACGCTTGGAGAATTGTTTCCCTACGGCAAGCTTTTGGAACATCCGTGCCTGGACATGCTGGATCTTCTAGAGTTTCCACATCTTCGGCTAGCGGCTCACTATTGGGATGAGTTGACTGCAATGGATATGACTAGACAAACTGGAAGAGCTGACCCCTACATGCCGCTCAACGAGGAATACATAAAGAGGTTGGCAAGAATATGTCCTCGGCCAACTTCTGATCTGACCAGCATTCCAGCTCGTCGCGCAAGAGCGGCTTCCGGGCCTTCGAGTAATTAGAGCTCATGAGATTGAGATTACTGTCTTAATTGTACCAGTTGTTTAGTCTTGATAGCCAAAAACTGCACTGAAAGTCGTGGGTAAGAATTTAGATGTCCTATGCATGCCGATAGATATTCTTGCTTCTTTCATTGTGGAATGATAGTTTTAATGTTTGAGTACAACAGTTGAAGAACCAATTTTTACTTTGATGCAGTGCGTGATTGATGAGAAGCTTTAATTTTACTCAGATTGAATGGGATGCATTTTAAAGTTTAACTTCGTTGATATGTATGGAAAATTTGAGGACGAGTTTTAGGTCTTGACTAACAAATACAAAATTTGAGTTACCCAAGAAATAGTTTTATTTTCGTTGGTACCGAAAATGGTAAATTTATGGTGAGCACGTGGAAGCATCCGCTTCATATTTTCCACCCGATTTCAGTATAATTATGTGGTCATATCTTAACAAACAGAAATTTCCGCTAAAGCATTTTGATAAACTACAATTGATTGGTGCTAATGTACTCGTCTTCCTGACTGAGTGATCCATAACGCGAAGTATACCAAATATCTTGCAATATCAAATGCCTAGGTAAATGTAACGTTCGCTGTGACGCGGAGGCTCTACGCTAGAATAAGTCTCCACCGTGAACTGAATAGTTCTCTCCAAATTAAATTTTGACAGTTTACGTGCCAAGTGGCTGAAGTCGTACGGAAATCAGTGGCTGAAGCCATGAGATGAGTCCGCTGTAGTCATGCGGGAATGCATATTGCCAAGGTAAAAATAGCTTGCGTAACGTTTATTCCGATGACTACAATACGAAGTTAGCGTGCGGCCTGTTTACATCATGCATCTCTCCCAACATAGTCCAATGGGTCATCGGGGATTCCCTTTGTCCAAATGAAATTTCATCGAATGCCGCAGTATTTAACTCGGTGTTGGTGTAAAAGTTTAGTCCACACCTACGAAAAGGGTCTACGCTATGGAAATGTGGAATATATATATTGAAGATATCATTATGCAGCTAAGGAAAAATAGAGTTCGGTTTAATGTTTTTGCGCAATTACATAACCGATAGGAAATACGAATGGTTTTATTTTGGCATCGAGAAGCTTGCGGAGATGATTCGTGTATAATGCAAGAGCGAAGTCGAGGCAATTGTGTGCCAAAACTAATACTCTTGCCGAAATTTCTGAGTTAATGAAATGATTTCATATTCTTAGTGTTATTGACAAAACGAATCCCCTGTAAGTTTACGTGACTAGGGACCTTCGAATAAATTGTCATTTCATGGAACTTGTTTCTTAACATGGTAGACGATAGGAAACCATGGCAATTCATTTCAAGACGAGAATAGCTTTCTGCTGAAGGATTTCACTCCCGTTGCTGGCTAAATCGGTTAAAAGGAATGTTAGCTAATTAGGAGATAGGTTTGATCGTGTTATTGCAGAACGCTTATTTTGTGTTCTCACTGTTGGAGTGCATTTGTCTTGAAAACTTAAAATTTAAAAGATGCAAACTGGTTATTTTTTGTATTTTTTTTTAAACAAGAGTCAATTGAGTGTCGAGGTTTTTATGCACAATCTGGGCTTGAAAGGGTTTTATATGATTTAAATAGATTATCTTCTTTATTCTAAGGTGTCATGATTATGAAGGTGGAATTTAGGTATTAGTATTTTTTTCCTCGCCTACATTATGAGTCACCACGTTATTCTTGTTGTCTACGTTGACGCTGTTGTTGTCCTTGGGCTGTTGTTCTTGGCTCTTGATAGATTATAAGGCAAGAGTTCTGGCACTCTTGGCACAGCTCTTGCTGCGGTGTGACGGTCACGAGTCTCTCATCATAAGAGCTGACTTCTGCTCTTGAATTTGTGGAATGGAAAGATCTCCTCGTTTGTGCTGTAATTAAACAAGTGACATACATTTGGGCTCTTTGGCTTTGAAACGAATTTGAGGTATTCGAGTTGGAAACCAATCAAACTAAGCTCTTGTATTTTGAAACGAACATTTGCTGTGACAGTTTGAAATCCCTATTATTTTCAAACAAGTAACTTCATACAATTAATATGTTTATCAGAAAATATTCTATACTATAGCAATAAAATTTTTTCCGAACATTGACCGACGTAGGCAAATTTGCCTTGGTTATTGTGGTGATATTATTGATTACGATTAATTGGAGCGCTTCCAGTTGAATATAATTAATACAATTAATTGATTGTAAAATAAATATTTGGGGGCACACGTCAGACATTGCAGTTTCTGGTGCCCGCAAGGGAAAACTGAGGCATGGCGATAACAAAATTAAATTTGGTAAGTTTGTTCAAAGTATGCAAAGTATGCAGTATATTTGTCCAAGCAAATTGGAGGCTCAAAGAAAGTGACTATTTCCGTTAGTTATGCGATAGTTGATGTTATTACTTCTCTGAACGAATTTCGTCGATTGGAAAACATTTCTGAATAAGGTTTTTGTTTCTATGTTGCTAAAATTTAGTTACATTAAAACTTTTTAATGAATGTTTGCCCGATATTTGTGCGAGGCGTGTTGCATGATTCTTCCTGAATGTATGGTAAATGATCGAATAAAAAATTCATCCTCATACAATGATCACCAAAAATGGTCTCATTGTAATTATTTTGTGTGATTTGTAGTAATAAGATTAATTCATTGAAAGTACAATGACAACAAATGTACTTACTTTGGATCAAATTTCTTTGAATAAAAGTGCGGTTTCGCTTCTTTATTTCAAAATTTTAATTCAAGTTGGAATTTCTTTTGTGGGAATGTGCATGGTCATTTAAAGCACAACATTCATTCATACAACGAGAGGAATTTCCCACGAATTATTGTGGGAATTTTTAAGGGTACATATAAACGTCATTAAGAGTACATATAAGCGTGCAAACAAGTTTGTGCTCGATCGTTCATGCATGGGTGCAATGAATGTATGTGTTCATATATAAGCAGAAAAACGTTTGTATTCGTACGCGGGTTCAATAAACGTTTGCATTAGTTCATGCATCTATAGGTTCAATAAACGTTTTTGGTTCGTACACGGGTACAATAAACGTTTGTATTCGTATATGCATAGGTTCAATCAACGTTTGCGTTCGTACACGGGTGCAATAAACGTTTGTATTCGTGTATGCATAGGTTCAACAAACATTTCTGTTCGTACATGGGTGCAATAAACGTTTATGTTCGCATATAAGTACGGTCAACGTTTCAGTTCGTATGTGGGTACAACAATCGTTTGTGTTCGTATATGGGTACAATAAATGTTTGTGTTCGTATATGGGTACAATAAATGTTTGTATTCGTTTTTGGGTACAAAAGACACTTATATATCGGAGACGTCATCGTCTTACGAATGTTATTTAAACAAGTATCGGAGCATCTCAAAAACTGTGGAGAAATTCACTATTCAACTTTAAGTTTTCGCCCATATATTAGCGGAGACCTCTGAAAGCCCCTTATTATTTTGTGTGATACGAATTACCAAAATTATAGATATTAGGGCAATATGAAAAGCAATTTCGAGCAAATATCGAGAGCAATTTTATGAAAATTGCTCTCGATATTTATTTGCATCATGTTGTTAACCGTTAACATTTATGAAACATTATCTTTATCGACACAATCAATTCAAATCGCCCTCTAGGATTATCATCAGCAAAAAAAATTAAGTCCTGCATTGGTGATAACCAAGACCCTCATTTTTCTAACCGTTTCTAACCGTTAATTTTAATTTTCCGACATAATAATTAAATCAAATTGATCTTTCGAATCATTATCAATTCATAAAATAAGGTTATTAACATATAATTAATGTGGTAAACATAATGTTATAAACATAAGCATAAAATAATGTAATAAACATTATCATAAAAACTTTAAACATAAACATAAAATATGTTATAAAAATTATCATAAAGATATTTAATTCTTGCATTTCAGTTAAGCGGGACATCGACGTATGGGTCAGGACGGTATGGCGGGACCGGGACTGCTGGGTCTTCGTATCTCTCCGTGCTTCGTCCGGTATCGCGGGACGGTTCCGGGTCCAGGGACAATACCGGATACGTGAGCGGCGGCAGCGGCTACAGTTCCGGTACCGGTGAGTGTGGCTCCGTTGCAATCCCAGTACAGGCAACGGTTACAGTTCCGGTACCGGTGAGTGTGGTCCTGTTAAAATCCCAGTACAGACAACGGTTACAGTTCCGGTACCGGTGAGTGTGGCTCCGTTGAAATCCCAGTACAGGCAACGGTTACAGTTCCGGTACCGGTGAGTGTGGTTCTGTTACAATCCCAGTACAGATAACGGCTACAGTTCCGGTACCGGTGAGTGTGGCTCCGTTACAATCCCAGTACAGGCAACGGTTACAGTTCCGGTACCGGTGAGTGTGGTTCCGTTACAATCCCAGTGCATGCAGCGTTTAAAGCTTCGGTACCGGTGAGCGAGGTTTCATTACAATCCCAGTACATGCAGCAGCGGCTACAGTTCCGGTACCGGTAAGTGAGGTTCCGTTATTATCCCAGTACAAGCAAATGTGCTGCATCACAGTACGGTGCCGAGTAGTTCATTTAAGTTATATTCCAGTGCCCTATGTGTGGAGACCTATATAACAGTGCTGGTAGTGAGATAACGCGAAAAACGCGAAGACTCGTTAAAAAATGAGCAATCAGAGAACGTTTTGCTCATCAGGATTAATGATTCATCGCTAGAAAGCCTCAATACTTCTCAGCCCATCATTTAGCAATAATTTAAATAAAGATCTATTTATTTATTCATTCCGGTCTCTTTTCATGATTATTATTTTCTAAAGGATTTAGGCAAATAATAATTTTTGTCCAGGACCGTTGATTTGCATAGCATAATGATTCTTTCGAAAGGATGAAAATTCTAGATTAAATGAAGTGTAAGTGCAGATGCATTTTCAACATTTGAAAAACTTGAAAATGTTAAACAAAACCAAACCTCTTTTTTCAGGATCTCGACCGTCCTACAACACAACAAGTCGGCTGTCAACCGACTACGGTCCTAAAAGTGTTGGCGCAATTGCTGCTAAGTTTGGCGACACTAAACCTTCTCGATTTGGAGCAACGTCTCCACACTCAACACCAACAACCTCAAGCCTTTCCACTTCTCGTTTTAGTGCATCATCCCCACAAACAACATCTAAATCACCAGCTACATCGTCTTCTCGTTTTAGGGCTACTTCCCCTACCACTACTCCCTCTCACACGACAGGGATTGCTCAACTTCGATCACGTATATCCGATACATCAACAACACCGGGAACCCGAAATTCCATCACAACAACTCCTCCGGACCCTCCTGTTAGAAGAAGCAGAGATACCAATACCGGTGCCCCAACGGTAACTATACCTACAAGTACAAGTATTCCGTCGTATACCAGAACCAGGAGTGGTACTGGGTCAACTTTAGCTAGCACTACTTCGACCACACTACCCAGAACTCGGTCACGTGAGACCACAAACAACACTACGTCTTCCAATACCTTCGAGAGTCCGTCATCTTACACACCACGCATTAATCGTGAGAATGCTAATGACAAATCTGGGTACAATTCCGGCTACGGATCAGACGCGCGTTCTGGGTACGGGTCTGACTATCGCACGGGTTACAATTCGTCTACAAATAATTACACCAGGTATAATTCGTACAGTAGAAGTAACAGTACTCTCAAGGATGGAGAGTTTCGACCATCTTATAGTCGTGAAAGCAGTTCTTTTAAGCCGTACAGCAGGGAGAACAGTTATCTTAGCAGCGATGGCGGAGGTGGAAGGGCTTGGAGAAGTCGAGTTTACGGAACAGAAAATGATCGAATTCCCACATCCGAAATGGTCAATTCAACAACAATGGCCATAGATAAGCCAGAAAACAAAAAAGGGTCGTTAGATACTAGCGTTTTTAGGGATGCAATCGATAAGCTAACAAAAGCTGCGAAGGACGAACCTGATAATAAGAAGCCAGATGGCGTTTCTCCGAACGCCGTTCGAGTGCTTCCTATTTTTAGCCCTGGTGACATCAAATTAAAAAACAAAGCACCAGCAGATTTTACTTCAGCTTCAGAAGGTTCCGATGCTGAAGAGGAAAATAAACAGGATGAAAATTGTAAAAAAGTTTCTACAGAAAAGAGTAGGATTATAGAACCTCAGAAGATCGATTTAGCGCCATCCAGCACAACGACGTCTCGTCCATTCCGCCACTTGGCAGCAGTAGCACCCTTACCTTCTAAGCCTTCGAGTGTCACTGCAGGTCTAGCACAAACACCAACCTTCAAGCTTTCGACCCGATACGCAAATGCCAACACTGAAGCACTCCCAGTTTCTTCAGGCCCTTCAAAATGGCTTCGAAACAGGGAAGACGACAAGCCCAGTCCTGATTCGCAATCAAAGTCCCCTTCTCCTAACCCAGCAGTGGCTACTCCAACTACTACTGGATCAATCTCATCAGCTGGCAGTGCTGCTAACAAAGATTGCAGAAAGTCCGTGCTTAATATGGACATTATCAACCCTGCACAGCAGGAGTTGATGAGAAAACAACAAGAAGAAAAGCGTGAAGAGCTAAGAAGACTTAGAAGGCAGAGAGGAGAAGAAGGCAGGACAACACCGTTGACTCGAGGGGGCAAGGCAGATGAACCTAGCGGGCCTGGTTCACCCGTGAGTTCGAGATCTATAATTGACTCACGGCCCATCCAAAGTTTGGCAGAGGAAGAACGACAGAGTAGTGACGAAAATAAAAATGACAAGCCACCAATGGCACCGTCACTTGAAAAAACTGCTTCAAAAACTCGTCTTATCGAGAGGAAACATTCCAAAGGGAAGAGTGATAGCTTGAGAAGAAGCGGTTCTTTCCGCCGTAATCGTGATCGTAAATCTTCCCAAAACAGTAAGTCCTCTTCATCATCATCATCTGACAGTGAAGGTGAGTCTCCTCTGTCAAAAACGAAGAATTCGAGTTTCAGCCGAAAACGTAGAGGCTCTCGTGACGACGTGATTGGATCATCAGGCGATAGTCGACCAGGTTCCCGAATCAGATCCGATTTTCCTAATGTTCGAAGATCTAGAAATAACTCAGAAAGCTTGAGTAAAACAAACTCTAAAAGTAATATTGTGAAGTCCCAATCCGGAGAAAAATCAAGAAGTGGATCGAGAAATAGTTTAATTGATAACACGTTGTCTTTGGGTCCTGATATCGATATCGGTGAAACAACATACACCTTCACTTTGGGTAAAAAGGGGTCCGTACAAGAGAAACTCAGCCAAGATGGTGTGGTAAGAACAAAACAAAAGAAGGAAACTGAAGTATCTTCTGATGAAGAATCATCAAAATCCTCTGAATCTAGTGAATCTGGAAGTGAAGAAGGTCAATTTTTTTCACTTGCTAAATCGAAATCTTCTAAACGATCCCGATCTTCATGCAATAAAATAGTTACCGACCTGAATAACTCAAAGTCAAATGAGAAGTGCCATATATCCCGAAACAGCTCCTCTGCTAACGTGGATGCGTGCAATGTCTCTGAGAGCCAAAATGGTGTAGTTTCTGCTCAGGTTACAATCACACTTCCGAAAAATTCTTCAGCTCTCAATTTGGATTCGAACGAGAAGAAGAATGTTGTTGAAAATACGACTAATGACGCGACCACAAATGGAGGTTATGAAGAGTTTCAATGGCCATCCGGGAGTCCTGAACTTCCTCGGAAGCAAACAACGGCAGCCACCGTCCACCAGAACGGTTACGAGGAATTCAGGTGGCCGAGTAAAAGTCCCGAATTACCGGCTGTGCCACCTCCGGAAACGGAAAGCACCTGCACCGAGTTTAAGTGGCCTGAAGGAAGTCCGGAACTTCCTAGAAGGAAAACCCAACCACCAACAGAAGAACAGTCCAACGATGGAACATCAGAGTTCAGATGGCCAAGCCACAGCCCAGAACTTCCTCGGAAAAATACCAACACTGAAACCAATGGAACATTCCAATGGCCCGATGGCAGTCCTGAAATGCCACGAAGAAATGTTCCAAGTTTCATGAAGACACAATGGGACACAGAAACAGAGACCGAGATGACAGAAATGGAACAAACTGAGTGGTCTGATGGAAGCCCAAAATCAAATAGGAAACAGATGCCTAAATTGGCCGAAGAAACCGAAGATGAATTTAACTTCGAGTGGCCTAGCAGCCCAGAAATGTCACGAAGGCAACCGTTCCATACGCAATATTCAGGATACGACACCCAAAACGAAATGGATAATTTTGAGTGGGGCTCTAGCCCAGAATTGCCTTTGATGAAAGATGAGAGATACGTAACCGTCACTCGCAATATCGATGAGATATTAAACGATCAAAATAAAATTGCCGATGATTTTGACGAACTCGAAAAACTGTACGGCTTTGAAGTTAGCGAATCTGAGAGAACGTGTAGCGAGAAAACTTCTCGACGGTCTAGTAGGACAAGCGAGAAAATAACTTTGGATGATGGAGCTGACCAGAAACAAGCAGATGAGGACGAGGAAGAAGAAGAAGAGGAGCAAGAAGAGAAAGAAAGAAGCGGTGTTAATGATGAAGAGGACCTCGAAAGCAGCATCCCGGAGTCTACTCGTGAAGAGGAGAAGAGACAAACTAAGGAGTCTTTGAAGGATAGAGCTAGGAACAACTTATCGCTCTTCTTGGGTACGTTGTATGAAATTTCATGTTGTAGTGAAATATTTGTTTTAACTTTGAAAACACAAATTTCCAGATATTTTTAACAATAACAATCTATTGGGTAACAATTTTGATTAAAAAATTTTAATTAGCATATTTAAGAAATTGTTAATTTTACGTTTGAACACCACACTGATAATTTAAATATTTAGAGAGCCGTATAGTTTTGTACCAAATTAACCGTTTAATCCTGGGTCTTTCCAAGTTATTGATAACAAAGTACGATGCCAAAAGTTTAATTATCAGTTACCATATATTTCCTTGTAGATACTTAATAGTAATAATTATAATTTTGCCAGGTAAACTGACGAACATTGACGACATAGTGAGCTCAGTACTGAAGCCTCTGACCAGTCTGCCATCCTCCATCATGAAGAAAACTTCACCCACCGCCGCCAGGAAGCTTAAAACAGAACAAGAGAAAATTCAGAAGAAAGACGACACATCCGAAGACGGTGAGATTTTATAATTATAATTATTTAATTAGTAGTTAAATGAATTATAATAATAGTATTAGTTGTTAATTAAGTGCATTATTTAAAAAAATTCATTAAATTAAAGGACGACAAAGACTTCAATGCATTTTTTGCCCTATTTTTCTTCTCACGGATTTCATAAATGTTCAAACAGGATCTAAAGTGTAAAGTTTGGTTCGTAGTTTATATGTGAAATGTGTATGAAAGATAATCATTTGAATAATTTTTAGATAAAACCTCTATTAGCTTCATGAAGTTAACAAATCAATTTTGAAAAACTAGCGAGTTCATCAAATTTATCAATAATGTGATAAATTACGCAATAAGTTACGGTAAACTCTCGGCTATCAAATTTTCCTGCAACTAAATTTTATTATAGTTTTCTACATTTGAAGATAATTATAGCTTTTCTAAAAACTGATAATATTTTCACGGCGGTCAGACGTGAAAATAATTAAATTTCATGATAACACTTCGCGTTACATTTTCCGGGGACTCAGTAAATATGGCGGAAAATTTAGAATAAATTTCCTTCTCGTTTCAAACAAAAAATTATATTATATCATCTACACTTTTTGGTGTTGTAAACACACCAAAAAATTCCATGGATATTATGAATAGACAGAAGGGTGAAACAGTTTTTCACTCCCTGCGACCGGTTCTGCACCCTATTTACCGCGATGGCTGAGCGATTATTGTTTCATCGTTTCGTTATTCGAGAAAAACTTGTCTCATACTTTAATGGCTGTTGTTACACCATGGCAATGATCAATAGTTCATTAATTCTTACAAAACTCTCTTTTTATGACTTTTATTAACTGAATAGTAATGCAATACTTTTTAGTCCTGTTTTGTGTTGATGATTTTCCAAGTTATTTGGTTTTGTTGTGGCCCTACTTTGCTCCGTGATTAATGGGGTAATAACTGTTACTCTTTAGTGACCTATAAATGAAGTATTTGCTTAGGTAATCCTGTTTTCAAGTGACCCTATATAGATTCCAGTTCACAGCAACTTGTCACCTGTTGATTTCAACAGGTCTTGGTTTTAGAGTTAGTATTATCACTAGTCTTATACTCCTATCGCCCACTAGTACGATATCACCCTGGCGTGATCTATAATTTGGTATAGATCTCACTAGTACTAGATGGTAACTTAAACTGGCTTAGTTGTGATTTCTAGTTCATAGTTTATTATTTTGGTCCCTGCTACTCTGCATGTTCTAGTTCACTGTTTTGTGCTGCACCTGCCAACTTCAGTCTTCTTGCTCCTATTCAATGACTTCCAAAGCTGTTGGGCAAACGGCTTTCAATTGTACAAAGTTTATTTGTTACCATTTTTAACTTACCCCATGTCCTTGTTTCTCCCCAACCTCAATAAATTTTTTCACCCGAGGAGGGTATATCAGGTATACGGTACCTACAAACTTAACATATTATATATATTATATTAAAAACTTAACATATTATAGCAATACCTGAGTGTCCCCTGTGTAATATATGTTGTGCATGTGTTTCGTATCAGCTCCCAGACCTCCCGTACCCTCGGTCCAGTTCTACGATCTTCCTTACTTGAGAGGTTCGTCAATACCTTTTGTCGTCTCGTTCTTTTGTACAAATTTGCTTAAAATGTCATTTCTTTAGTAAAATTTTGTTTAAAATGTGATTTCTTTGGTACAAATTTTTTAAAATGTGATTTCTTTTGTACATTTTGTTGCTTGCTTAGTCCACACTTCGTTTTTCTTATCTATTTTTAGCACATTTTCTCATTTATGGAAAAAATGCACTATTGTGCTCGCCATGTCCGTCTGTCTGTCTATCCGTCCGTCTGTCCGTCCGTCCGTGACCTCAAGTTTTCGTCGACGAGAAAATGCTCTCTCTGTCACTCACTGCAGTGAGTACTGAGTTATATTTTTGTTCATTTTATGTAGGGATGGATGCTCGGGTGAATGAATACGTTTGTGAAATTATAATTTACGTATTTGTATGTGCATCTTCAGTTTAATTTATCACTTATCACAAAATTAATAAAAAAACATACTAGATTAATTAAGGTATATCTTCGAATTTTGTAGTACACTTTCACACCGATTATCCGTAAAAAATGTTTGAAAAATACATGTTATTACAACATTTCTCTTTAACTTCACTTCTTTTTTTTTCTACTACAAATCTTATAATATAAATTTAACGCACTTCTAATTGTCCAATCGATCTGAAATTTTGCACACTTGCGTAAAGTTGGAGACAATGCTTGAATCAATCGACAGAATAAATAATAATAAAAATGTAAATTTATATTTTTTATACTTAAAAATAAAATTAGAAATTCATTGTATGTACATGTGTAACATTGGAGACACTGGCCTCATAGGAAGTGTTCTCTTCAAAAATTAATTTTTAAACTCATATTATTATTTTATTTTACGTCAAACTTATATTAATTTTTCGCCATCAGAATCGAGTATGGAAGAAGTGGACGCTTCAGACGTGAAGGTTCACGACGCACAGGCGAACAGAGCTGACATCATCGAACACATCGAGGAGATTGATGCTTCAGCTGTCATCGTCAGGTGAGAACAAAGATATGATTGTTATCATTGTTATCTCGCCGCTGCTGACATCATCGAGGAGATTGATGCATCTGCTGTTATCGTCAGATGAGGACAAAGATATGATTGTTATCATTGCTAACTCGTCGCTGCTGACATCATCGAACATATCGAGGAGATTGATGCATCAGCTGTTATCGTCAGATGAAAACAAAAATATTATTCTTATCATTGTATCCACAATATCCTTAATTTGTACTACTGTCATTTCCGAAAGTTCAATTTCAAGTGTTGCAAAACTCTTCACCAGCTTGATAATAAATATTGTATATTTAAAACGGCGCCTAGCTTCCATTAAAAATGTAATTCGGTAACCTGTTTTTTGATCTCCCGGCGCCAGCAGGAAATAGGAAATTTTGTTCGACTCGGTGAAAAAAAATAAAAAGATTATTAATAAAAGCTGGCTCTGGTCTTCAATCAAACTTGCATAAAAGAAAAGCTTCTGCCGAATTATACAAATTATACAAATACAAAATATATGCGTGTCCGGTGCACGGGTGTAGTATATGGTTTACTTGTGTTGCTAAGATCTTTGCTACGAAGTAAAAGTAATTATAATAAAATTCAATGTAGAAATTCGATTCATTTATTTCAACATGAAATGCACCTCATGTGAATGCTAAAGAATACCCTGTTATTATAATTTTACTTATGATACAAAATTAATTTTTTGATTAGTTTTGTCAATCGGCATGTTATTATATTTTGCAATATTCACTTTTATTGTTGTTTTTAGTAATGAAATAACGAATGTCATGATATTGCCACAAAAAAATGTGCAAGGTCTAACATATAATTGTTGTTAGACAATCGTCAAATAATTAGCGTCTTTCTATTAATAATATATTGCTGATAAAATTCGCAATAAAAAACATTGCGGCTCATTTCGCAATTGGGATCAGGATTGGAACTTGCAAAGAAACTAACAATTTATCCAATGACTATTGAATTGCAATGCTATTCCTTAATTTGTGACTTGCAATGCTATTGACTTGTTGCAATGCTATTCCTATCCAGCCTGTAAATTGATCTATTAATCGGGAGCTTGATCAGCAGTCATTTAAAAAGTATGTTTTAACTTTTTAAGAAATGGCAACTTCATGTCTCAGTCAAGGCGGATTATATGTAACAAAAAAATAAATAAAAATTCTCAACATAATCGTAACAATACAATAATTCAATATAAATGTAACAATACAATAATAACAATAATTCAAATGAAATACCGACCGATGCTGACAGCATATGCTTGACGAAATGAAAATTTTATTCCTACGATTTTATGTTCATTAATTTCAATGCAATATGGCATATAATTAACCGTGTAATAAACAATTTAATTTAAGTTCATTTCGTAACTTATTGCAGGGAGAAGGAGAAGAGAGAAGCCCTGCGAGCTGAGATCATCAAGGCCGTCAAAGAAGGGGTGAGCTAAAATTAAAAGTTTAATATTAGTAAATATAAATTATCGAGAATATTTAGTTTAGTTATATAATTTAATTGATGAGTACATTAATAACAATTTTCTTGGTGGTTATTCTCTCTTAAAACAGAAGATTCGTTGGCTGTAAAAAAGTCCCGCTGCCTTACTAATAATAGCTGAAGTGATGCCTATGTAATCAGTCAGGAAAAAAAGTTTCTATCGTTACCCGTTAATCCGTTACCCGCCATTAATAATTTCTCGGTCAGTCCTAAGCGACCGGTCGTTGCGGCTCTTGCACGTTCGCGACTCCGCTTTGAATTTTAATAGTCAGTGACCATCAAGCCGTTGTGAGGTGAGGTGTGATGGGCGCTCGCTCGTTCTCCGTGTGACCCTGGCCAGTGGACAGTTCGGTGTGCTCATTCTTGCAACCAAGAAGCCATACTTGTCCTAGATTTTATTCAGCTTGGAAATAACGCGATTACTATCACTCACGCTGCTATAGCTACCCAGTGATGTATGTTAATTATGTTTTATTTGCTGATATCAAGAGCTAAGTGAAAGGCCGGCGTATTCCAAAAAAGCATACAGCTCCTCTGGCACCGCGTACCTAAGCACTTCTCTCGTGTAGCCAAGCTGGTGTGTGCATAATATTACTGGACTCATGTTATCTCGTGTGCAATCAAGTGAATCAACTTATCAAGTGTCAAAGCAGAGACTATTGTAGAGACTCTCCCGTTTTAAATCTAATGACTATGAGTAGACAAGTAAAGTATCATTGATCCCTGCATTTTTTTAAACAGAGATTGAATGAAATTATTAACTACCTAGATCAGGGAATTAAAACTGAACTGATTTCTGAAAAATCGCACGTTTCCCTTGGGCCTCTCGGACTCGATGCAAGCATTGCAATGTATCTTTCAAGCTCACGAAGTTACCTTTAAGTAATCTCGTGTTGGCTTAGCAAGTCGAGCTAAGATCATTACTACCTTCTTGTTTTAATTACAGTGTTTCGTAGATGACTTGTTCTTACCGCTAATAAAATACTAGGGTTATTAAGCTTAAATCAAGTTTTACGGTTCGTGTTAGCTAGTACCGTGAGGCGTGAATAACTATACCTAATGAAATTCAGTTCTATGAAATTCTAGCAATTTCGCCTCCACAGTCTACTCCTAAATCAATTGGCTACTAGGGCGTAAATTCACCTGAATGCTGAATCCTTCCCAGTAAACGTCCTCGAACGTTGGAACCGAACTTCGAGCTTTAGTCCCGCGCGTTTTTATGTACCTATTGTCAGTCTGATGATCCGTTCATTGTAATAATCTGATCATGTTCCAGATCAAGCGTTCAAACTGCTGAAACAATAAGGAAATTTGTCCAGGCAATTATTCCTTATTGTCTGTGTAGGTGTATACGGTAAACCTAACCTTGGTGACGCAGTGCAGAAAGTAATCCTTCGCCTACCAGTGGTGTTGCGTACCTACCTCGGCCCCGATTGGTGAAATCCGCGATAGGGAATTTATTGTCTTATTGTATTTATAGTGTCATTTTATTCTGCGTAATCTCTTACTGCCGATCAAGTTTCACGGGCTGTTAAAATATGCCGATCGGCGTCTCCAGAAACTCGCGAACTAGCGAAGATCTGTAAATGATTTCTATCTTCGATTATTCTCCAAAACCCCGCGATAAAGTGAAGCCGAGGTACCTAAACGAAGCGCCGCATAACGAAGTATGAAGTTTTGCTTGCCTAATCCTTCGTGATCTAGTTTACGCTACATGGCTTGCACGATTCGTCTCAACCGTAAACAAATGCTCTCAGTGAAAAAATAAAACATGAGATTGATTGCCGTACTTGGTGCTTTTAAAACGTCAGTGCAAAGTTGCTTGGTTTTAGAGGTCATTTTTTGAGAAAATTTTCAATTCATTATCCGATTTAGTGTATTTTATTATTTTCTTTTCTATCTTTGAAGCCTTGGGTTCGTGGAGTGAAGAATTTCTATTTGTTTTCTGAAGGGATTCACGAAAAAATCATGGGATTCAGTTTTCTCAAATAAATTAGTTTTTTGAACTAGTAGTTAGTTACTATAAGACTAAAGCACTAAACAGTTCCCAGACCAATTAAAATGAAACTGTAAATTGAAGATCGTTGCCGCGCAATGGATCATTGATGCCAGTTATATTTAATGTAGTTGTGTCGAGCTATAAATAGCACTACGTATGTCTCTTCAGGCTTCGCACGCAATTCGTAAGCTGCTCATTGAACTTCAACAAAAATGCGTGCTATATAGTTAGACTGTAGCATACATTTCTATGTTTTCAATGGATGGCTATAACGTATTACGTATATATGCCGTTTCTTATACGTTGGTAAATTTTTGCAGATGAAGATAAAGAAAATATTTGAAGCATGTAAGATTTCTTGGTGTGTTTATACGTTTCTAATAATGATTTAGAAGATGTGGATCCAAATATCGTAGCATAAAAGAAAATTCATACAGATGGAAAGAGTGTACCATATGGAGAGATCGTAATCTTTGCGATGCCTTCCTCTGCGTTGCACTCTAACTTACCTACCGCGTCAGAAGACGAAAACTGTGTTGGCAAGAACGGTGAGAACGTGTCAAACATCAAAGATAATGACAAAAACTCTAAAAGTTCAGGCAAAAGTGCCCCGAGAATCATCTCTTCGACTATGAAAGCTAACGCTGTTGATAGGATATCAACAACCATTTGTCGACAACGCCCCGATCTTATTAGTAGTGGATCGGTTGCCGATAGTGCCATCACTATTTCCATCTCTTCTTCACCAGTGATAAATGCTAACGAAAACTCTCCTATCAACTCCACAAGCTCTTCTACTACAATTCCTAACAAAACTGATTCAGTCTCGACGGTAAATGTACTTCCTGTTTCAAAAAGTGACACAAACTCATCTACATCTGTGAAGGTAGACGACTCGTCTATTCGGTATTACAGAGCTACTGCAGTGGTTGAACCTGTTACGATCTCATCTGTCCATGAAAGAGTAAAAAATACGGATGAAAGAACACAAAATGAAACTCCTTCTTGCATCCTTGAGATCAGGGATGATTTGGAAAACGCACAACCTGCTGCTGTTATTTCTGTTAATCTGAGCGAAACAAAGGATTTGCGCAGTAGTGACTCGAGAGCTTCTAGTGTGCATGCAAGTGTCGGTAAGGTAGTTTGTGTCCCCGAAAATTCCTTAGTTTTCCAGGAACCTCAATCAATTAGGCCAACTCCGGCCAGGTCTCCCAGTGTAGTGGTAGAAACTGTTGTTGGCTCTGAACCGCAAGTAAGTTGGAAGTCTGATGTATTGGGGTCTTCCTGCGCTACTCCAGTCACCTCTTCTTCCATGAGCGGAACTTTGGTCTCTTCAAGTCCATCTGAATTAGCAGCATCGACTACAGTCACTCATTCTAGTCAACATGATGCAGAGGTCAAAGCCTCTGTGGCAGTTGTTACCGGTTCAACTAATTCCAAATCTAACGAAATGAACAATCCACTGACCTTTAACATTAAGGATACACATTCGGACGCCGTATTACCAATTGACGACAACATGAGTGATAGATCTTCCCCTACTTTATCGGCGGATTCGATGCCACTGTCTCCCCCGCTCACACCTTCGTCTTCACCTACATCTTCCCCACGATTATCTCCCACACCTAGCACTCTCACGTGCGGTGTACATTACATCAACGATATCGACCCCTTCGCTTTCGCCAGCAGTTTGCTGCTGCCGCCTCAGCCTGCGCTTTTTACTTTTGCTACGGATCGGCCTCTCAGCGATCACCTTCACGCGCTTCACAGGCTCCTTGATGCACCGCAAAACGTACGTTTTTAGCTTATTTTCTGCATCTGCACACCATTGAGGTTTTTCTTTTCCTGTAGTACTCGTGCATCGCTGTAGTTTTTGTTTCTGGTGCTCCTGAATCTTGCAAATGCATTTAATGTTTGACTATCAACAGTTCTGCTAACATATCAAAGCACACAATCCGTTCAAGTTATACACTTTAATTATTTGTAGATTTTTTAGTTTTTAACGATTTCATTAACTACAAATGTGTAGTCTACATGTTTCAAAGCGTCATTAATGTATAATTTTGGATACATTAATTTTTCTACGGTATACTGTATATAAGTTAGTGAATATTTCAAGATTTGAAGCAATGAATGCAGGTTCAAAATAATTGTTGTTGAATGCAATCAAACATCGAGCTATCGCCCGATATCTTATCTGTGCGGTTGAAGTTTGCGAGTTTTATCGCTCGTTCTGAAATGTTTATACAATGGATCGATCACCAACTGTGCTCGTTCAATTTATTGCGTGCAATGTAAAATAACTTTCCGAATGATTGTGTAAAACTGTAAATTCATTATTTTTAATGCATTGAAACTGGAGATGGCCGAATTTTATTCCGACTCGAGTGATCTTAGTCGCGATTTCTTCGTATATTGCTCTCAGGATACACGATGTACAAATGTCCACAGGACATTTGTATATCGTGTATTTGTAGGAAAGTGTCCAATGCCTTAAAACATCTGGTAATGTTGCATTTTCAGAGCATCTGCACGCTTGTAAGATAAACACAGCATCGCCTTAGTTTACGTTTTGCGTAAATTGCATCGCGTTCAGAGCTGCGTCTGCTCCGGAAATCTTCACAAAAACTCGTCGCGTTTTACCAGTGTCCTTGAACACTGCTATTTAAACCCTTAACTTATTGTTCACGTAAAATAGAGGGTCAGTTATTATTACATCGTTCTTTTTACTATTCTTTGCACTTAAGTAAAACATGTGGAAATAACGAGAATTGCATGCTAACAAGTGGATGCTGTTTTTTTTTTCAGAGGAAATGGTATATTTTCTTCTTAATTAAGTATACTTAGTTCTTATTCTGTACCGATGTTTCTAATGTACGTGTCGTGCCGAAATCGCGGAATTGCCGATTCAATGGAATCGGCAGTCAGTTTGCCGAATCTGTAGAATTCTCATTTATATACTGTAGGAATCTGGGGTAAGGTCAGTCAGCCAAGTTTTTTTAAATATTTAAACATGAATTAACTTAGACTGAACTTGACCCAACCTTTTCTAACTCTGTTGATTTATCTTCTAATTCTAACGTCAAATTGTCTGAATCAGCAGAGCAATATAGTTCACTTCTGAACTACCCATAAAGTTCTGAATCTACAGAGCAATATAGTTCAGCAACCAGCTGTGACCGTCGTGTGAGGTGGTAAGAAATGTGACTTTTTAGGACAATGAATGTGAAAGAGTTTCACAACAATAAGCGATCTCGCTTATTATTTTGAGTACCTACGATTACTTCACTCACCTACTGTATCTTTTAACATTCAGTTTCTCGCTGTAGTTGATACAAAGTACCGTACGGTAAAAATAGTTACCAATTGAAACCTTGCAACTGTTGCGCATTAAACGTTACCGGTACGTGTGCAGCTACAACATTACAGTTTTAGTCCTATAAAATGTTAAATACAAATACTATAAAAATGTTAAAAAATAAATAATGAAATAATAAATTAGAAATAATAAAAAATGAATAAATAATAATAAATAAATAAAAAATAATTGAAAAAATACTATAAAATGTTAAATACTATGAAACACGTAATGACGATGGTGTTCGAAACGCCGTCAGCGCATTTATAACGCTGCAAGTCCTCCTCTGTACGCGCGCTGCAGCAACGGCCACGGCTGCTGTAACGGATGCCCGACGTTTTTCCGACTTTCCGCAAAGATGGCACCGCCTAACAGCTGTCGTCGGCGAGACTCTCCGCCAGACAACTCGTTGTGCTGCGACACGCTTAACTCTTTAACGGTCCACTGATCTGCAACTCGTGTAGAAGAAACTTTTGAACGTAATAACCAGCAACGCATTGTAGTACTATTTATCGCCCGACTGATTTGTAACTTCTGTAGAAATAATTTGTGAACGTAAGAACCAGCGACACTCTCGACGAAATATCGCGAAACTGATCTGCAACTCAAGCGGTTATAATATTATAACAGATGGACCAACGCAGCATGCTAGTATTTACCACCTGTAATCATCATCAATATCTAAACCCTGATTAATATTGGTGCGGAAAAACCCACTCGGGGTTTTTAATTGGGAATTGTCAGATTCCTTTACTTAACCTTTTACCGCCTGACATGAGTAACCGGAGCAATATTGTCACAAGCCTACTTGCCAAAAAGGATACGTTCTAGTGAGTACAAAATGACTTGCACTGATGGTTGCCGCCACGTACGACAACTTTAAAATGTTCTCTGTTGCGTACGAACGTCCTCAGGTTGCCACACTCAATAGTTTGCGTATAATTTAAGTTGAAAGTCATGTTCCCGGAGAGTGACAAACGGCGGTAGAGGGTTAACTGAGCCAATAATTGGAGTTTCCGTATAGGTTCCGTTGTGAATAACTTGCTCATGTGCTCGACCACGTACTGCGTCGGCGCGGCCAATTTGCCAGCGATTTCTGACCTGGCTTGATGATTGAGAGGGAAAGTAATGTCGAATTGTTGATGTAAGAACACTGAGTACACTACAGTTCATATCATTTACTCGGTAAGTATTTTCACTTTTCAATTCGTTTATCGGGAACATTTTTGATCAATGGTAAATTTGTTCAGCATAGATAGATGCGGATGCACATATCACGTTATTCAACGGTTCAACGGGAAATGCGTCCTCGATATGATCGCCAAAGCATAATTTTACATCATTTGCATTATCGATACTTCTTAGATGCTGGAATTCTGTACATGAGTTATTATAAAACATGAATTTAGATTAATCTATTTTGCTTGACCCAAATATAAGTGGTTGTGCACGCTTGTAGAATCAAGGAAGAAATAAAAAAGTAATATCACGCTGTGCATGAGTCACGCTTGCAGTCCCTGAGTAATATCCGGGGCTCCATTATACGCTTGTGATCTTGCGCATTTGTTGCCATTATTGAGAGACTCGTCTAATAGGTGATGGAAGGACTCTCACTATTTTTCAAAGCAGAAATTTGCTTCAATTAAAGTTTGTAGGACAAAGCTGGCATCCCTGGTAAGCTGGACCTCTTCCAGTGACGGTACACACTAAATTGAGGAAACGCGCTGCTTGCCAATTAGTATTGATATAAAGTCTTTACTTTTTAATAGCTCTTTCTCTTCTGATGTATCAACTGTCGCGTCGTAAATGTTATTCATATGTAGAGGCCTTGGAACGACATTTACTGTCTGTTGACTAAGGGTTAACTCAATGATTCCTCTCTGCGATGTTTACCTGCCACTGGAGATGGCATGTGTAGTATTTTTTCTTTGCTTTTGTAGTAATACTGATGAAGGAATTCCTAATAAGTCGAGTAAGATTAAGCGATATCTATAATTCTAAATTTCACATCACGTAAATGCGTCTAGCCTACAAGTTAATGTTGATGTTAAACGTGCGGTACATAACATTTGTATTACGTATGTAGGTGTCCCTGGTGAGTTAAGTAATATTCATTGACTGTACTTCATACTTCGAGCTGTTCCTCGAGCCATTGGGGTAACCACTTATCTTCAATAAATAAATAAATATATTGTAAATTAATTAAATGCAGCCTGCTAGTTCCTGTTGACAGTAAGTGTAATAAGTTAGTGATTGTGTATACTCGTGCAGTTGGACGATGCAAGCCTGCTTTACTTCTCATATGCAGGTCAATCATATAAGTTTTAGTATCTAGTGACTGTATAACATATAATGTAAACAAATAAGGCTGAATTAGTGTTGATATTAAGTGAATGCTTGCGTATCTCGTGCAGTTGGATGACGCGTGCCTGCAGGTGTACAGGGAGGGCGACTACGCTACCTACCTCGACCTCGACACGCCCCTCGCACAGCAGACCGAGGACATCGATAACATCACCGACAGGTGAAGCTCTATTTGACCATTAATTAAACTAAACCATTGCCTAAACTAAACAATTGACTAAACTAAGCCATTAATCAAACTAATACATTAATTAAACTAAGACATTAATTAAACTAAACCATTGACTAAACTCATTAACAACTAAGCCATTATAATTGGCCCCATAGCTAGGTGCTTCTGTACGCGTAAATTATTGGAGTTCAGCAGGTAAGGTTCCTGTAACACCTTTAATGAACAGTTTACTTTCGAATATATTTACCTATTTTAGTATACGAGCTGAAACAATTATTTGACACAAAGTTGTTTCAACATGATCTGTACGTGGACATAGGACGATTTTAGTTGATAATATTATCAATTGTCTTGTAGATGACGCAGAGATCGTTATCTCAAACTGCATTGAAATTCAGTCTGTTCATTTTGAATAATGTCAAAAGATACAGTTAGAAATGTTCATTTTGAATAATCTTAAAAGATACAGTTAGAAATGTTCATTTTGAATAATGTCAAAAGATACAGTTAGAAATGTTCATTTTGAATAATGTCAAAAGATACAGTTAGAAATGTTCATTTTGAATAATGTTAAAAGATACAGTTAGAAATGTTCATTTTGAATAATGTTAAAAGATACAGTTAGAAATGTTCATTTTGAATAATCTTAAAAGATACAGTTAGAAATGTTCATTTTGAATAATCTTAGAAGATACAGTTAGAAATGTTGATTTTGAATACCTAATTTTAAAAGAAACAGTTAGAAATGTTAATTTTGAATAATTTTAAAAGATACAGTTAGAAATGTTAATTTTGAATAATTTTAAAAGATACAGTTAGAAATGTTCATTAATTTTAAAAGATACAGTTAGAAATGTTCATTTTGAATAATTTTAAAAGACAGTTAAAGATGTTGATTTTGAAAAATTTTAAAAGATACAGTTAGAAATGTTCATTTTGAATAATTTTAAAAGATACAGTTAGAAATGTTAATTTTGAATAATTTTAAAAGATACAGTCAGTAAATGGTTCTAAAATCCTAACTCGAGTGGCTAAGAGTTTGTCAATTGGCAATTTGTATCATAGGTTGTTCAATGCAGGATTTTCGTCACGTGACCTCGTGAAGCCGCGGCAGTCGCAGCTCCCATCAAGTTAATGAAACATGCCGGATTTGTCTATAGTTCCTATATTTAGAGATACGTGGAACAAACGTGTCGGTTGGAGATTTAGTTTCGTGCCGGATTTGTCTATAGATCCTTTATTTCGTGATACGTGGAACAAACGTGTCGGTTGGAGTATTGTGCCGGATTTGTCTCTAGTTCCTTTATTTCGAATAACTCGAATAACCGAGTTGAATGGAGATTGAACCCCGCGCCTGTTTTGTCTATAGTGATTGAGTTTGAAGTACTTGCAACAATCGTGCTGGGTGGCGATAGAGTATCGTTGTGGTGTCAGTGGAGTCTTGCATCCGAAAATTTGATGTATTTTTTCTAGTAAATGTTAAGAGAAAAGGCGCATAACTTGAAAATGTGTCATTAAGGTCATTATGGTTGATAAGGTCATTCCGTGTTGAATAAGAATAGTTGGAATCATAGTTCAAGACGACAACGCCTGTTAAAGAGCAATCATTTTGAAGCTCTTGATAATATTTTAGATCTTGCAGCTAATTCAGTCATGTTTATTCTTAGTACAACCAATTTCTAACAAAATTTCTAATTTTTTAGTAATCAAAACAGCGGACCTTTCATTCCAATGTTATCGAAAATATACCTAGGCCGAATAAACAACACACAGTTTCTGAGAATAATCAAAAATATTTGAACGTGTTTTCAAAACGTTGGCTCCGCTATATGCCATCGGCTTCGCTATAATATAAACTTTCCGTTTTGTTGTTGAATTCGCTTGTTGTATACGCTTCTTGTTTATACGCCAATATGGCTTGAAAACAAGACACGCGGCGATCATATAGCGTGCATGTTTTGGAAACTTTGGGAGAATGCATGAAGAGGCTCGCTCTTCTAGTGATGCGGTTCATTTTTAGCGCATTTTCTCATTTATGGAAAAAGGGTCTATTGTGCTCGTCATGTCCGACCGTCCTTCTGTCCGTGACTTCACGGACGGACGGACGAGAAAATGCGCTCTCTGTCACTCATGAGCTACAGTGAGTACTGATCTAATTTTTTATCAACTTTAATGGTAGGAAACAATTCCTGAAAAACTTGTTATTTTGTCGTTCGTGGCGTGAAAAACCGAGCTGCTTTTTGGCGAACATGCATTAATTCTGTATGATTGAATAGAATCATTTCTTCCCATATTAGTTCTTCACAAATTGAACTACGCGCGACGATTTTCATCATTGATCCGTCTCATCACTAATAATTGAGGTTTCACTCGACAAAAAAAACTTTTTTGAGTGGAATACAAATATTATCAAATTTAATTTTATTCTTGAACATATATACGTCCGCATTTCTGTTCTCGAAGCATCACTTAGGTCTCATTCTTGCAGCAAATGTCCAACGTTGCAGCGAATGTCTGTGGTCGTTGCGTGCGGTAACCGCGAAGTGACGAAAGCTCGCATTATTCCGGCTCCTCCGCCTCTGTGTGAACGCTGATATAAATATATGGGTGTACCGCCTTTCTATGTGAACGCGGAAATAAATATATGGGTGTACCACCTTTCTGTGTGAACACTGAAATAAATATATGGGTGTACCGCCTTTCTATGTGAACGCGGAAATAAATATATGGGTGTACCGCCTTTCTATGTGAACGCGGAAATAAATATATGGGTGTACCACCTTTCTGTGTGAACACTGAAATAAATATATGGGTGTACCGCCTTTCTATGTGAACGCGGAAATAAATATATGGGTGTACCGCCTTTCTGTGTGAACGCTGAAATAAATAAATGGGTGTACCGCCTTTCTGTGTGAACGTTGAAATAAATATATGGGTGCAAGCTCGTACTCGAGAGTGTGTACATACATGACTTATTTATCATGCCATTGAAATCGTTCATTTAATGGGGGACGATAAAATGTTTTGGATGAGCATACTAGTTAACAGAAGAAGGCAGTATCGTTGAATGTCTTACGCTCATTTCATTTGTGTTAGTAGTATTTTCTTTTATATTCAAAATGTATTTTCTACCTGGAACTCTGCTAAAATCCGTCATTTTCATTGTCACTTGAGTTATTCAACAGATTCGATTTTATTTGTATTCGTTCCACACATCTTTTACTATTTCAGATTTTTGAAATTACTTACGATACTGCAGTAGTATATTAATCGCCTACACTCAATGATATAAGTGGGATTTTGTCCGAATGGCGATGCATTTTTTGCTCATTTATGTGCCATCTTGATCAAGTTTGGCCCGGCAAAAGTGCGAATCAGTGGCACGTGCATAAAATGTCTCAATATTTGGACAAAACGTTCATTTGTTCATTTGACGTTCATTTGTATGAGTATAGGGGCTGTCTCTTATACACATCTAGATGTGTATAAGAGACAGGATCAGGGATGATTTGGAAAACGCACAACCTGCTGCTGTTATTTCTGTTAATCTGAGCGAAACAAAGGATTTGCGCAGTAGTGACTCGAGAGCTTCTAGTGTGCATGCAAGTGTCGGTAAGGTAGTTTGTGTCCCCGAAAATTCCTTAGTTTTCCAGGAACCTCAATCAATTAGGCCAACTCCGGCCAGGTCTCCCAGTGTAGTGGTAGAAACTGTTGTTGGCTCTGAACCGCAAGTAAGTTGGAAGTCTGATGTATTGGGGTCTTCCTGCGCTACTCCNGGAGGAGAGGGGGGAGGGTGCGGGGAATCTGCCTCGCTACGCGCTCTACTTATCGGCTCGCATTTTTATAATCACTATTAGCCATTAATCATCGGTTTTTTAACAATAATTATTTATTTTATTTATTTATAATTATCATTTTTGATCATTTACAATAATTTAATTGCGCTCTAGTTCAAATTTGTCGTTTTTCGTTCATAGAAATTCTACTTATTGTTTTAATATCATTCGGCTTAAGTTTTTTTTGCGTTTTTTGTTTAAAATATTTTAAAACCAGGCTCTAGCTATTTTTCTTGATCTGATTAAAACAAATCGCGTATTTTCTAATATAGGCACAACATTGAAGATCAATGTTAACGGTCAAACTTTCTTAAGCCACAAAAAATTGTTTATTTTTTGTTTAGTTTGTTTTTTAGTTTATTTATTTTTTTGTTTAGTCCAATGTTTAGTTCTGTGGGGAGTGTATCGTATGATCGGTAGCATATACGCCAACAAATTTATTGTTGAAAATTCTAAATCAAAACATTTTACGTTAAATTAAAAGCCAGAATATTATATAACAAGTTCATCAGTACTTATATTGCACTGTTTAATATAATCACTTGTGTGTGGTTAAAATAACCGTTGTATGTGTGATAAGCCAGAACACTAAATGATAGATCCAAAAGATCGTCAATAATTGCTTAGTTAATAAATGTTCATTGGAATAATTATAATAATAATAGTAATCTTAAACGTTCATTAGAATAAATATAATAATATTCTAATAATGATACATTTTCATTGCAATAAATATAATAATATTCTAATAATAATAATAATAAATGTTCATTTTACCGTAACAGCTTCTTCGCGCAAGGTGCTGAATCTTGTACAATCAGAAAAATGTAGAGACTTTATCCAAAAAGCGACGCACTTCTTGCCCTTCTGTGGGCCATCCAAACCCAGCTATGCCCGGCAAAAAGGCGTGTTGGAGCTGCGTGTAGAAAATACGTCACTGCTCGGACAGCTTGACCCATTAACTCTTCTGAGTGTACGGCCGGCAGCTGCCCTCTGCCTGGCACCGTTAAGCCTGCCCTGCGGTGCTGTGTACAGTGACTGTACACTGTACAGTCACTGTACAGTGTACAGTAACTGTACTGTGTACAGTAACCTGTATAGTGTACAGGAACTGTACTGTGTACAGTAACTGTACTGTGTACAGTAACGTGT